TTTCATTAAAAAAAAATGACATTTAGCCATTTAAAAGTTTCACTGTTCAAATAAATAGAAGTATTATCTCATTAATAAAATATTTATTGATGTTTATCCTTCAAAAGGGAAATTTTTATTGAAACTAAAAACTTTTAAAAAAATAAGATTTTTTTATAGTTATATAAGTACTTAAAAAAGAATATTATATTTTTTAGAATAATGGAGTATAAGTATTATACTTTTAGATAAAATAAAATTAGGTTATTTTTTAATATAAAAAAAGAACCTGATTATCACATTAACAAAATTAGAAATTAAATTAAGACCAATAATATGAGCAAAGACCTTAAATCCCCATAACCATAAATTTGAGACAAAAATATAATTTATCCTCTTTAAAAAAAAAATAATTGTGAAAACCCAAAGAAAACTTGGCAAATATCCTTAGGCAACCCTTCACCTTAATGATTATAAGAGTATCAACCCTTCAATTTATAATATAAAAGTTTTAACCCCTTACCTTACTGATTATGAGAGTATCAACCCCTCAACTTATAATATGAAAATTTTAACCACTCATCTTTTCAATCTAAATGAAAAAACCTAAAATGAATAGCAACATTTTGTGTTCATTAAATTCCATTACATATTGCTATGTTAGTACTAATGTGGCAATTCCTTGCCATGTGGCAATTCCTTGCCACATGTCAAGAACACAGTTATCTATTTTTATTAGGCTTAATAAAATTAAATCCAATTCAAATATCTTATCTAATCCATTCTCTACAAGTAAGGTCATGAGTTTAAGCTTTTAAGGTATTAATTTAAAATCAGATATAATCCAAAATAAGATTCCTTGAACCCAATTAAGTTGGGCCAATTTAAAGTGATTTTATTAAAGTTAATTACTTTTTTAAAATTTAAAATGTTAATTAATTATACTTTTAATTTTAATTTTTAAGTATAAAATAAAATTAAATACTATAAACTTATTATTATTTATTATATTATTAGTGTTAATATTAATTGAAAAGATTTTTTTACTAAATAATTAATTAGTATTAAAAAATTTTAAAGAAAAATAAAGAAAATATTAAAAAGTTTTAATTTTAATTTCAATTTTTAAAAAAATTAAGTTCATTTGATCCCATTGAATCATGAATCTACTTTTTTAACTTAAAATCTGAAATACCAAACTCAAAATTTGAAATGACATAATCCAAACTCATTGAATTTGATTTGTTTACAAGTTTAACTTTTTTAATTTACGATGGAAATTAATAATGGTAAAAAATTGTCATGTTAGGACATGAAAATGAGTGACAAAATTTTAACAAGCGCATGATGCTACTATCCATTTTGGGTTTTTTCATTTAAGTTGAAAAGATAAAAGATTAAAATTTTTATATTGTAAATTGAGAGATAATGTAAAATGAGGAGTTAAAACTTTCATAAAGTTGGGAGGCTGATATTCTGACAGTCAGCAAGGTGGAGGGCCGGCCAGGAATTTTCGCCAAGAAAACCTAACTAGATTCGGTAGTCGGCATCTCACCATCTCGCGCCACCCTCTATCTTCCTCATCTCTGAACATGGACAGCGCCGTCGAAGAAACCGCCAAAGCAGTCCCCAATTTGGAAATGGATTCTGCCGCACCTGCTGAAAAACAGAGCAAAAAGTATCTCCTTTCTTCCTTCCTCTCACTTTTTTTGGAAATCTCGATCATCAGTCTAATTTCGTTTCTTGACATTCGTTGACAGTGCACTCAAGAAGGAACTTAAGAATAAGCAGAGGGAGGAGGAGCGTCGCCGCAAGGAGGAGGAGAAGGATGCCAAGCTGGTATCTCTGCTCAAATCCATCTTACTTAAGCTACAATAAGTTGTATATATTTTTGTTTCAATCAAATATCGGGTGCTTAATTCACATATTTTCAGGCCGCTGCAGCAAAGACTGGCGCCCAGAGTCAGAAATCTACAGGTGCAGAAGACAAGGATATGGATCCAACAGTAAATTATCATTTTTGCCTTTAATTTCAGTCTGCAAGGCTCAATATCCAGTAAAAGACTACAACTTTCCATAATCTCGCTGTTTTATAACAATCTAATTCTATTCTGTTTTGCCTCCCTTTCTTGCAGCAATACTTTGAGAATAGGCTGAAATTTCTTGCAGCTTAGAAGGCAGAGGGGAAAAACCCATATCCCCATAAGTTCTTGCATCCGTATCTATTGTTGAATATGTAGAGAAGTATGGAGGCTTAGGCAATGGGGGGCATATGGAGGATATCACTGAAGCTTTGGCAGGTATTTGAGTCGGGTTCAGGGCACTCCTCGGTCATTTTTTATGTTATCCATTATGTTATGTTCATTTGTCTTTTTTGTTTAAAATCTGTCACTTTTCATTTATGCTAGGTCGAATCATGAGCAAACGGGCATCCGGTTCAAAGCTGTTCTTTAATGATTTGCTGGTGGTGCTAAAGTTCAAGTTATGGCTGATGCCAGGAATGTAATCTATTCATTTTCTTACTCGGAACTTGTAAGTGATTGCTTCTTCTTCTTGATGGG